CATAGATATATAGATCGCGAACCCTATATATGTGAGCGCTCGCTGGCTACAAGCCTGAATACCTGTTTACACAAATAGAAAGCGATCGAGAGAAAAAGAGAGAGCGAGAGAGAGAATGATGCCCGATAGAAAACATACGTGAGTGTTATATACTACTGCGTAAACACATCACTATGTCATCCAACATGTCTCGCGAATGGCGATTGTACAATAACTTCGTCGGAAACCTTACATCCGCATATTATGATTATCTCTGAAATCTTTGATTATGCAGTGTCTACACGATGACTACAGAGAGCTAATACTGAAGGATGCCACGCACAGTAGCCTAAAGGGTAATGTGGGTATGGGAAGTTGTAAGAGGATGTAGGGCATAACAGTGCAGATATAGAATTGCAGCAGGCTACGTAGGCCAAACACGAGTGAATGCAATTATTTGATAAACTAACGAAATTTGAGATGTACGGCAAAACGTGCCAAGTGCTTGCACAAATAGTACCATCTCCGTTCAATCAAGTGACGCGTGCAGAATTAAGGGATACGAATCTGATATCATCAATACGCAGACGACGATAATAAAATACATCTCTTAAAAAAAAAACGTATACTCGCAGGCATACACGTACAAACGCACTTGATTAGATTTAAATGTGTTTTGTATGCTTGCGGTAACTGCAGCCAACGCGCATACAAATATCACCAAGTGTGCTTGACCATTAGCGAAAATGTGATTGATGCACGCGATGTTCTCGCGATGTGGCTTTTACGTTTAAGCTACCAGCGATTAGAACGGTTTACACTGAAAGAAGCCAATAAAAACCTGATATGTTACCTGAACTTTAAAATGCATTTTGCATTTACGCATTTACGGGCGAGCGACAGAATAGGGTTCTTGATGAAGCATACAGATGTTTAGTTATTTTTACCGGTGTTTCCGATCTGACGGCGTATATACGTGTGCGTCAGTTGCAATAAGCGCCAATAGTCGTTAGATAGCACGAGAAGAAGGCTCACTACCCGTTGCTTCCACTGAGAGTGCAATTGCTACCACGCTCTCATCGTGATCACTTCGGAACAGTAGTCGCATAACTTCGCATAACAGTAGTGTTATGCGCCTCTACGCGAATCGGAAAATTATTTGCTAACTACGTTACTCGGCGGCACGTTACTCTTTTATGCTGACGGGTCGGAAGGCGGACGCAATGAGTGCGAACGGTACGCATCAACATGCTTTTATCATTCCTTTCGATACTCGCGTGGAGCTTACCCCCGTCACGACCACGTATTTCATCCTAATTCTTGTTACTGGCCTTCCTAGCAACACGACGGTTCTGTTGGCGTACCGGGGCATACAGAAGGTCAAGAGAACAGAGCTGTTCGGTGTTGTAATCGTGAGAGCGCTCGCCATCAGTGACATTTGCGTTTGCCTCAACGTCTTGAGGCACTTCTTTGATATGAAAAATGACGTTTATCTCTGCCAGCTGGAATTCGTCGTGCAATCTGTACCGTTGACGTTCTCAGTGAACATCCTCGTCGCCATTGCGGTGGAGCGATACTTAGCAATATGCCAGCCGTGGTTTATGATCCGCAAGAGACACGTCATTATTCTTATAGTGGGAGCTTTGACGATGTCTACGATTTTTTCTATTGTTGGTGCCTTACCGCATCAAGTGCTATCCGAAGATGTTTGCTCCATAGCTGACGCAAGCATGCTTGCAATGACTGTAACGGGAAATTTCAATGCTATCTACGTCGTGATAATGTTGCTACTCATAGTCCTCTACAGCTTAGTGTTCAGGGCAATTCATCGGCGGCAGAACAATAAGGTTGGGACGAGTGTGGGAGCGGCTTCATTGAAAACGCAAAGTAAGACCAGCGTTACACTAAGGCAGGTCACTGGGGTGAGTGTGTTAACAACGGGACGTAGCTGCACAGAAGAGGGTGCGTGTGGCAAGAAAGCACAAGTGGTAAGCATCTTTAAAGTAGAGGTGGCGGACATACATCTACAGCCAGTACCCGGACCCAATAGAGTGGGCAACAATACCAGTGACAAAGTATCATTCAGCGAAGCTTCATGTTCAAATGTTTCAAGAGTATCTGGACATTTACCTGCGCAGAAAGCCAGCTGGCGCAACACGGCAATGGCAGATACCAAGGCACGAAGGGTCGTTGTCGTAACAGGTACTACAGATATGTACCCGAAGTAGTTTTAGGTTGTTTAGTATTATGTTTATATTTTTATAGGAGGTATGTTTATGGTTAGGGTTAGGGTTAGAGTTGGGGTTAGGGTTAGGGTTAGGATTAGGGTTTGTGTTAGGGTTAGGGTACACTTTCTGTAGTACAAAGTACTGGTACACTTTGGGTGTAATACATATATGTACCTCGGTACATATCTGTAGTACCTGTTACGACAACGACTGCCTTGAGCGATCACAAGAAGGGCAAATGAACTTTGCAGTTTTACAACTGCTATTATGTTAGCCTTATTACAATTTGCTTTTTTCTCTGAGCTGTTAACCGTTGCTGGTTAGTGAATTTGACCATTTTGATATGGATGGGGAATAAATGTTCCAGGATGTTGGTGTATCTATTTTACTATCTGCAATGCATGATCAGACCCTCTCTTTATGGCATATATGATAGAAGGGGTAGAAATTATCTCTCTGATAAGTCAGAGTTAACATTTTTCGTAGGATGTTTGAAAAAAATGTAATATTTAACAGATAATATACGACAACTATTTATCATAGATATAGACTCGTTATGATAATTTCATTATTACTGTACCAGTCGCGAAGATAAGTAAAATAAGTATGGAATGAAACGTTTGTCTATCGTGCGTGGCGACCACCTCTTGATAGCCATTCATTGACGACGATGGCTGCTTGTTGACGCCTGCTGACCACTGATGTTGCAACGCGATGCGTGCGTGGCGTGCGTGGCGTGCGTGCTGTGCGTGCTGCATATGGTCGAGCTACGAGTATATATATAATTATATTATAATACTATAATAGAAGTATTTCCTAATATCAGGAAAGTGATATAATGAGAGATTTATCTATATATATTATTAGTATAATTATTATTATGTATTGATTATTATTATTATTATTATTATATTATTATTATTATTTATAATTAATAATTATTATTCTCTATTATTCATTCCGCATAATACATCTACAGAGATAATGTGGTTGTTGTGCTACGTTACAACCTGGAATCCTGTGTACTATACACACGTAGATTTTCCGCTGCGTGCACATATAACTATACGATCGAGAAACGCCATATGGCAGCGCAGCCGCTGGCTACAAGCCTGAAATACACCTTACTCTCGATATGAGAAAGCCGAGAGAGAAAGAGAGAAGAGAGACTGATGCCCGCATAGACAAATACAGTACGGAATGTTATAACTAAGCTGCGTAAAACACATCACATGATCATCCACACTGTCTGCGCGAATGGCGATTGTGCAAACAGCTTCGTCGTGAAACCTTACAGTGCCGCATATTATGATTATCTCTGAAATCTTTGATTAGCAGTGTCTACATTGATGTAATATAGAGGATGATACTGCTGAGGATCCACGCCAGAGTAAAAGGTAACCATGCGTGTGGAAGTTGTAAAGAAGGATCGTATGGCATAACAGTGTGGCAATTATATAATTGGTAGAAGAGCTAACGTATCGCCAGGCACAAGTGAATGCAATTATTTGATAAAAGTAAACGAGATTTGAGATGTACGGAATACACGTTGATAAGTGCCTTGCACAAATAAGTGCCATTTCCGTTCATCCAGGTGACGCGTGCAGAATTTGGGATAGGAATCTGGATTATATCATCAAGACGCAGACGATTGAAATAAATATACACCTCATAAAAAAAACTAAAGACGTATACTTAACGCACTACTCGCAGGCCTTACACGTACAAACGCACTTATTAATTATATCGTATTTTGTATGCTGCGAGCAACTGCACGGCAACGCGCTATACAAAGTATCACCAAGTGTGCTTGAATCACCGCGTTAGCGAAAATGTGATTGATGCACGCGATGAGGCTTTTACGTTAAAGCCATACAGCGATTATAATGGTTTAGCACTGAATGAAGCTATGAAACCTTGATATTTACCTGAACTTTAAAAAATGCATTTTGCATTTACCGCATTTACGGGAGAAGCGACAGAATAAGGGTTCGTTGATGAAGCTACAGAGGTTTTAGTTATTTTGTATCCGTGTTTCCGTCTGACGGCGTATATTACGTGTGCCGTCAGTGTTCAATAAGCGCCAATTAGTTCCGTTAGATAGCACGAGAAAAAGGCTCACTACCCGTTTGCCTTCCGCTGAGAGTGCAATTTGCTACCGACCGCTCTCATCGTGGATCATCTCGAACAGCTACCCTAGTAATTTGTTATGCGCTCTAAGCGAATCGAAAAATCGATCGGCCTAACTAACGTTTACCCGCGGCACGTTACTCTTTTATTCCTGCCGGGTCGGAAGCGGGACCGCAATGATAGCTAACGGTACGCATACAACATGTTTTATTCATTCCTTTCGCATGCTCGCGCGTGGAGCTTACCCGACGTTCTGCGACCAACAGTATTTCATCACTAATTCTTGTTACTGGTCTTCCTAGGAACACGACGTTCCTGTTGGCGTACCGGGCATACAGAGTTCAAGAGAACAGAGCCTGCTCGCGTTATGATCGTGAGAGCGCTCGCCATCAGTGACATTTGCGTTTGCCTCAATGTCTTGACGCACTTCCTTGATATGAAAAATGAATTTGATCTCTGACAGCTGGAATTCGTCGTACAATATCTATCGGTGATTACTACTCTATTGGGTAACCTCTTGTTATGATAGTTGTTTCAAGAATGTGAATGTCTATTCGTGATTATTCTCTACACGTCATTCTACTCGTTGTGCTATTGCTTCGTTGACAATATATTGCGTTGGAATTTTTATATTATATCAAGACGCAGACGATAATAATATAATACATCTCATGAAGAAAACGAAAACGTACGCTTAACGCGCACTCGCAGGCATACACATACCAACGCACTTGATTAGGTTTAAATATGTTCTGTATGCTTTGTTTTGTTTGTTTTTGCATACTTGCAGTACGTTTTACATGCTTGCAGTAACTGCACTCGACGAGGATACAAATACCACCAAGTGTGCCTGACCATTATAGCGAAAAATGTAATGGATGCATATCGCGATGTGGCTTTTGCGTTAAAGCTACCAGCGATTTATAATGGTTTTACACTGAATGAATCTAAATAAAAACCTGATGCTACCTGAACTTTAGAACTGCATTTTGCACCTGTGCAGTTACGAGCGAGCGACAGAATAGGGGTGTTAATGAAGTTTACAAGAGGTTTATTAATTTTTATCGGTGTTACCGACCTGGCGGTGTATATACGTGTGCGTTAGTTGCAATAACCGCTAGTAGTCGTTAGATAGCACGAGAAGAAGGCTCGCTACCCGTTGCTTCCACTGAGAGTGCAATTCTGCTACCACCTCTCATCGGTGATCATCTGAAGTAGTAATTTGTTATGCGCCTCTACGCGAATCGGAAAATCATCTGCTACCTACGTTACTCTTTTATTCTGACGGGTCGGAAGGCGAACGCGATAAGCGCGAACGGTACGCATACAAGCAATGCTTTTTATCAAATCCATTTCGATACTCGCGTGGAGCTTTCCCCCGTCACGACCACGTATATGGCAAGCCATTTGTATCATAATTCGAGAAACCACGGTTCCTCGCACGAAAAACTAGAGGCTTCGTGCTCACAAAACCTAGTTACTTGCTCAAGAAACGCAGGGCTTCTTGCCATGAAAACTAGGTTTCGTGGCACGAACCTGTTTCTAAGGCCCTATAACCGCAAGTTAATAGCTGGAATTCTTAGTTTTCGTGAGCGAAACTAGGTTTTGGGAGCAAGAACTAGGTTTCAGCAAGAAACCGCACTTTCGAAACCGCGCGCCATTTTATCATAATTCGAGAAATACCACGGTTCCTCGCACAGAAACCAGGTATTCGTGCTCACAAAAACCACAGGTTTCTTGCCATGAAACTAGGTTTCCGATGCATGAAAACTAGGTTTTCATGGCAATGAAACTAGTTTCATGGCAAATGAAACCTGGTTCTAAGCCCTATAAACCGCAGTATAGCTGGAATCTTAGTTCTTCGAGCACAAGAAACTAGGTTTTGGGAGCAAGAAACCCACTTTACAACCGCCCATTTGTATCATAATTCGAGAAACCATACGTTCGCAGCGACGAAAACCTAGTTTCGTCGTGCTAAAAGGCCGTATCTAAGGATCGTAATCGCCGAGCGTGACGTCAGCGTAGTTCAGTCCACTCGGGGCCACTTGCTCAGTAAATACTATAGAAATAACAGTACTAGTTAGGCTAATTAAATTAAATATTGTATAAATAAATTAAATATGCTGTGCTAATTAAATGTATTGAGATTGTATCGTGCGTGATCTGCAGTGTACCCGTGCACGTGCGTCGTCCCGCGTAACGTCGCGTGTACCCCGCGTGTACGTGCGTGTACGCAGCGTGTACCCTGCGTGCAGCGTGCGTGTACGCAAGCGTGTAGCGTGGCGTGTGCCGCGACGTGTAAACCCGCGTGTACCGTGCGTGTACCCGCGTGCAGACGCGTGTACCGTGCGTGTACCCCGCGTGCAAACGCGTGTAACGTGCGTGTACCCGACACGTGTACCGGGTACACGCACGTAACAACACGTAGCACGCGTGTGCCGCGGGTACCGCAGTAGACGCCGTGTACTACGCAACGTACGACGCTGGTACAGCGCACGCACGTGCACGCGGTCTACAGGGTACGCACGTACACGCTGGTACTTCACGTATTACACGCGGGCACACGCACGTACACAGCACTGACTACACGCACGTACACGCATGTAACGCAGTACACCCACGTACACGCGCGGTACATCGACACGTACAACGAGTAACACGCTGGTACACGCACGTGCCCGCGGGCACCACGCACGTACACGCACGTACACGCGACGTACATCGGTAACGCACGTGCACGCGGGGTACACGCACGTTGTCACGGCACGTACACGCGTGTCACAGGCGTCGCACGCGGGTACAACGCACGTAACCGCACGTACACGAGCGGTACAACGGCGGGTACAACGCACGTACACGGCACAGTGCTACGCGGGTCACACGCTGGTACAGCGCACCGTACACGGCGGGCGTACACGCACGTGCACGCGGGTACGACGCAGATTACACTCACGTACACTCTCATACATTTAATAGCAACAGCAATATTTAATTTATTTTATAACAATATTTAATTAATTAGCCTATACTAAGTATGTTATTTCTATAGGTATTGTACGAGCAGTGCCCCAGTGTCTGAACTATCGCTGACGTCACGCCTCGGGAATTACGAAATCTCTAGATACGGACTTTACAACGACGAAACTAGGTTTCGTCGGCTCGAAACTATGGTTTCTCGAATATGATACAAATGGCGCGGTTGAAAGTGGGTTTCTTGCTCCAAAAACCTAGTTTTTCTTGGCTCCAGAAACTAAGATTCCCAGCTATAACTGCGGTTATAGGGCTAGAAACCAGGTTTCAATGCCATGAAACCTTAGTTTTCATGCAAGAAAGCCTGGTTTTGTGAGGCACGAAACCTGGGTTTCGCGTCCGGCTCGACAAACCTATTGGTTTCTCGAATTATGATACAAATGGCGCGGTTGAAAAGTGGGTTTCTTGCTGAAAACCTAGGTTCTTGCCCAAAACCTAGTTTCTTGGCTCAAGAAATCTAAAGATCCAGGCTATAACTGCGGTAATAGGGCTAGAAACAAAGGTTTCATCCATAGAAACCTAGGTTTCATGGCAAGAAATAGGTTTTTGTGAGCACAGAAACTGTTTCGTGGCGAAGGAACCACTGTGGTTTCTTCGAATTATGATACAAATGGCGCGGTTGAAAAGTGCGGGTTTCTTGCTGAAACCTAGTTCTTGCTCCAAACCTAGTTTCTTGCTCACGAAACTAAAGATTCCAGCTATAACTGCGTTATAGGCTTAGAAAGCCAGGTTTCCGTGCCAGCGAAACTAGTTTCATGGCAAAGAAAGCCTGTTTCTTGAGCAAAGGAAACTAGGTTTGTGAACAACGAAACCTGGTTTCGTTGCGAGAAAGCCGTGGTTTTTCTCGAATTATGATACAAATGGCTTGCCATACACGTAATATTCATGCCTAATTCTTGCTACTAGGCCCTTGCCATAGCAACACGACGGTTTCTGTTGGCGGTACCGGGGCGTACAGAAGGTCAAGAGAAGCAGAGCTGTTCGGCGTTGTGATCTGAAGAGCACTCGGCCATCAGTGACATATTGCGTTTGCCTCAACGGTCTTGGACGCACTTTCTTTGATATGAAAAATGACGTTTATCTCTGGGCCAGCTGGAAATTTGTCGTGCAATCTGTACGCTGTTGACGTTCTCAGTGAACCATCCTCGTGGCCATTAGCGGTGGACGATACGTTAGCAATATTCCAGCCGTGCTTATGATCCGCAAGATCCACAGTCATTATTCTTATAGTGGTAGCTCTGACAGAATGGTCTACGATTTTTCTATTGTTGGTGCCTTATGCCGCATCAAGTTGCTACCCCGAAATATGTTTGGCTCCGTAAGCTGCGACAGCGAACTTGCTTTCAATATTGTAACGGGGGATTTTATCGTTATCTACGTCGTGGTAATGTTGCTGCTCATAATTCTCTACAGCTTAGTGTCCAGGGCAATCAATCGGCGGCTAAGCAATAAGGTTGGGACGAGTGTGGGAGCGGCTTCATTGAAAACGCAAATAAGACCTAGCATGTACACTACAGGCAAGGTCACTGGGGTGAGTGGTGTTTACAAACGGATGTACTTGCACAAAGAGGGTGCGTGTGGCAAGAAAGCAGCAATGTGGGTAAGCACTTTTTAAAAGTAGAGGTGGCAGACATACATGCTTAGCAGCCAGTCCGCGGACCCCAAATACACAGGGCCAATACCATGGACAAAGTATCATTCAGCGAAGCTTCAATGTTCAAAAATGTTTAAAGAGTATCTGGACATTTACCTGCGCAGAAAGCCAGCAGGCGCAACACGGCAATGACAGATACCAAGGCAATGACTTTGCAGTTTACAACTGCTATTATGTTTAGTCTTATTACAATTTGCTTTTTTCTCTGCTGGTTTACGGCGTTCTGGTTAGTGAATTTTGAACGCCATTTTGTCATGAATGGGGAATAAATGTTCTCAGATGTTGTGTATCGAATTTACTATCTCAATGCATGTAACAGACCAGCCTCTTCTTTATGGCATATATGATAGAAGGGTAAGAAATTAATCTCTCTGAGTCAGCGAGTTATACATTTTCGCCAGTGGATAATTGTAAAAAATGTATATTGTATAACAGATAATATAGACACTATTATCATAGATTAGTGGAGACCTCGTATGATATTTCATATTACTGTACACAGTCCGGCGAGAAGTAAAATAATATAGAAGGAAACGTTTGTCTAATCGTGCGGCGACAGACCCTCTGATAGCCATTCATTGACGACGATGGCTGCTTGTTGACGCTGGAGGCTGACACTGTGTTGCAAGGCTGTGTGCCGTGCGTTAGCGTGCGTGCAATGCGTGCATGCATGGTCCGAAGCTACGA